AATTCCTCCAAATTGGAGCTTTCCGAATATAAACTGTCATAGGTACATAAACGAAAACATTTAAATGGCCCTGACAGAGAGAACAGAAAAAGGAAGAAGTGAGATAGAAGTTTAGATGGAGTTACTGGGGAACTTACTGATTTCGCGCATGCGCACTCCATTTTTGCCAACATAAAATCAGGAGAGTTGCGCTACTGTATATACTGTGCCGTGGCCGTAACATCGGTACTGGCTATTATAAACCGCTCCTTTACGGTAGATTACGGTAACGACCTCTACGGTTACGGCCACTGAATTACGGTTACGGCCTATTATAAACGACGCTTAACGCATAAGGCATAAGAAATTCAACCAATCAGAGTTCTTTATTTCATGGAAAGGAAGGAAACGAAGAACTCTGATTGGTTCATTTTCTTATGTATTAAGCTGGTTCTACATTAGTCGCATCGCAGCATCGCAAGCGTTGCGGTCCAATAAACATCAACCTAGCTCGACTCTGATTGGACTACACAGCTTGCGACACGCTTGCGACGCTGCGATGCGGTCAATGTAGAACCAGCTTAAAGCTTAAAGGCCCGTCTACAATACAGTCGAGATTGTGAAAAGAACAATCGACTGTGATTGGTCAATTTCTTACTCTTACTTCTTAAACCAAGCTTACTACTGTATTGTAGACAGGCCTCAATGGCTGCTGTATACAGAACGCGGCAACTTTTGCCGCGCAGCAAAAGTTGGATTGAGTTCAACTTTTGTCGCGCGGTGGAAATTATATGTCTATTACTTCCGAGCAAGCGAGACGTTGATTGGCTATCATGTCAACTTCCGCCGCGCTGCAAGCGTTGCCGCGTTCTATATGCAGGAGCCATAAAGCTGGAAACACGATGGGCACAAACAACAAGCACAGGCACAGAGAATAACGGCCGTCCAATCAGAGCTCTGAGATATAACAAACTTATAGGGGTCTATGGCCGGTATTTAAAGACCTGCGTTCCACTTAACGTCCACAACGCTCGTGGAATCATTTTATCCTTGTCGTTTATCAAATGTTAAACAAGGACAAATGATGCTCACGAGCGTTGCGAG